TAGTTCTTACAGCTGTTTACATCATTAATAGGACTCTTAGGGTTCTTAACTTTGCATCCCCACTCTCAATCTTACATCCCAATTCATCTCTTTTTTTTTATTCTTCCGTGAGTCTTTGGGTGTGTGTGCTTTGTTTAGCAATTGGGACAGACTCGTACAAAGCTTGAACCCAAGGCTTTGAAGTGTCTGTTTTTGGGCTATTCTCACTCTCAAAAAGGTTATAGGTGTTACCATCCTCCTAGTCGTCGGCGGTTTATATTCATCGATGTTTCCTTCTTTTAGCATACACCATACTATAGTGGTTCAGTTTGTTCTCAAAGTGAATGGTTCCCATTGAATATAATTGATGATCATTTCTTCTGTCTTCAACTCCTCTACCGTTACCTGTTTCATCTTCTATGATTCCTCCTCGTGATACCCACTTCAATAGTGGGAATTGTTCCTTTTCCACAGGTTTATAGTCCGAGACAACAGGTACAAGCTTCTACTCCCACGATCGACTGCCTTGTTCTTTCGGCACCAGCTCCACCTTCTCAAGCTATTGTTTCGCTTAATGATCGTCCCTTTGCTCTTTGAAAGGGTAAATGTTCTTATACATACCCTATTTCTAATTTTGTTTTTTATTGTGCTTTCTCACCCTCCAATCGGAGTTTTCTAGTTTTTGTTGCCTCGGTTCCTCTTCCTTTTAGTGTTGCAAATGCATTAGCACAACCTCAATGGTGTGATGCTATGACAGAAGAACTACAAGCACTTAAAAAAAATCAGACTTGGGACATGGTTCCGCTTCCTATTGGACGAAAGGTTGTGGGTAGTCGTTGGATGTTTACAGTTAAGCATAATCTAGATGGGTCAGTTGCTCGTTACAAGGCCCGGCATGTTGCCAAGGGTTATGCTCAGACTTATGGCATAGATTATCAGGAGAGTTACAAGCCATTGTCCTCACGTCCACTTCCAATCGTCTTCCCCGTGTCCAAGTCCTGAAACACACAGTGAGATGGAAAAAAGGTTACACTACAATTCAAGTTTTTTGTAATGTGACTGACAGAAAGGAGGTTATTGGTGAACTTTGGGACATGAAGAACAGAGGCAAAAACAGTGTCTTTCCCCGTAATGGAGGTAAAGGTGCCATCAGCCACTTTAACCTTATCCTTACCAGAACATAAACTGTATGAAGAACCAGTCATGTGATCAATGGCTCCAGAATCAATGATTCAAGGTGGCCCACCAGTTAATGTGGAAACCTGATGTGCCGAATGAGAGGTACCTGTCTAAGCGAAATTAGAGATGGAAATGGAGGAATGTTATGCTAGTAGATGTCGAAGAACATCAAGTTCAAACCCGGACAAAGAACTCGGTGGCCCTGAGGAGGCATGACCAGTAGAAGCAGTCTCACACTCTGCAGTATGTGCCGTAGATAAACTCCTAAATGGACCAGGCCTTAGCCTAGCATTCGCATGAGCAGGAGCTAGAGAAGGTCGACTGTGTAGATTCCAGCATGTTTCCCTAGTGTAGCGCGTACGCCCACAATGATCACACCTCAACTTGCTCTTGTCATCCTGTTTCCCTCCTTTTGAAGGATTGGGCTTGTTCCACTGTTGTGTGGCAAGAGCAAACTTGTCAAACAATGGTACTTCTGGCTCAGGCTTAGTGTGTACAAGTACAGACATAGCCTTCATTCTACTGTCCTCAGCCTGGATAAACGAAAACACATCTCTAACAGAAGTAGGGGCTGGATACCTGCCTAACACTTATACCCTAGCATGCTCGTATCTTGGATGCAAACCACCCAAGAACTCATACATTCGATTCCTTTCTGTCATAGCATGAAATGCTTTAACATCAGCTGCACACACAAGTATGTAGTCTTGGTAGTGATCTAACTCTTCCCTTTACCACGTAGACTGTGGTAATATATAGCAAGAGTTTGGTCTTCCTGCTTGAATCTGGAAATCTGTTGTTGGAGTTCATACAGTTTTGCAAAATTACCAACCAAGGAATATGTCTCTTCCACAGTCGTCCATAGCTCTTTAGCTGCTTTCACAAACGGAAACCCTTTGCTAATCTGTGGCTGCATTGACTACAACCACCACATCATAATTAGTGCATTATTTGAACTCCACTATTTGAATTCCAGATCGCTCTTGGAAGGATACATGACAGTCCCTTCGATATGGTCGATCATCCTACGACCAGTGATATGCATACGAGTAGATTAAGCGCACTCCATATAGTTCGTCTCATCCAGCCTAACAGTCGTAATACAAAGGCCTGGATGGTGATCACTACTACCTCCAAATACTGGAGTCGGGCTAAGAGAAGACCAGCTTCTTTTGAAGTCACAACTGAGACAGACATTGTATCAAACAATTTCTGGGTATACAATCCTCAGAAACAAAAGCAGCAACAAAATACGTAGAGAACCAACTCTCTAACACACAAACTTCAACTAGAAAGATCACCGTCTTCTAAGATGCAAAAAAAAGCGACCACTCAGTCACCGCACAAACCCTAGAAAGCAACAAAGTAGACCATACCAGAATCGCGAATGACGAAGAAGAAGTCGTCATTGCAAAACCTCGCAAACATGAAAAGAAAAAAAATAATCATAAATAAAAATAAAAATAAAACCAGTCGAGACTGTAATAAATCAAAAACAAGTCCAAAACCCTACTTCCTAGCAAACAAATCCCATCTTGGAATCTCTTCAAAACCCTTCATACCCACTAGGTTTATATAAAACTTGCCCTAAGGTTTCAACTACACACCTAGAGCTTTACAAACCATGCCCTGATACCATGTTGACTTTAAGAGCTAATCAAATCAAAAGTAAAGTATAATAAGAAGAAGAAAAGGAGAACAAAAAGGATGAGAGAAAAAGAGAGAGAGGTGGGTAAAGAGAGAAAGAATGAAAGAATACTTTCATCCTTCCACCACATTCTATTTATAATAACAAGTTTCAGAAATTAAACATAAACCACAACATTATATAAGTAATAACAAATAAGCCCCTGACAACACTTAGTACCTGAGGAAGTGCAAGATGCATCGACCGAGCAAAGTTAGAATTAGTTTACTACAAAAAGTAAGGTACCAGACGTACATAACGTGTGTTGACCATCAAAAAAGGGCAAAGGATTATATTCAGATATCTGATGAGGGTGCTACATATTTGTCATGTATGTCCTTCATATGTTTATGTAAGTGATAAGCGCTACATGGTGCACATTGAAGCTCTTTTATTTGCATATGTTAGTTCTCTAGTTGTAGTTATTTATGCTTTTATGTCGTTTTTATATTTTTGCTACTTTCAGGCTTTTATCCTCAAAATCAATTAGAACTGGGAATTTCGGGCTTTCAAATGGAGATTTGAATTGGGCTAATTTCCAACCAAAGTCTCAAGCTTCTTGGGCCAAGATCATGGCCATTCTAGACTTAAATGAAGACAGACAAATTGGGCCAAAGCATAATTCAAGCCCAAGAGAAAATTGGGCCATTCATAAACCTACGACCGGTGGTCCATTCACAGCACACTGTGACAACCAGTCACCTTCATTAGTCTCAGGATCTAAGCTCCAAAACAAAAAGTTTTGAGTGGAGCGACTGAACGTCCCCAAGGGCGACCGGTCCCCCGTGCAGTAGAGGCAACCACAAGCCAAGCGCACAGCACAGGCCTCGGCACTCGACGACCTTTCATCGCCCGTGGGCTTCCGGTTATGCCGTTTTAAAATGCCTAGTTGGCAAAGTTGTTGAAAAGCAACTTTGACCCCTAAAATTGTGGATCTGATGGCAAGCCTTTGGGGCACGAATTTGGAGCTTCTTGACCACATGTTGGTATATATATCCTTGTATGTCATCCTTCTCTAAGAACACACATTTGGGAGGATATTTCTAGAGAGAGAAATATTGAGTTCTAGGGTTTGAAGATCAACAATGGTGGCTAGCTTGGAGATGGTGCTTCCTTCAACCATGGAAGCATCTACCTTGTCCATGAACCAACTTCTTCACTAGGGAGTTGATGTAGCCCTCTCTAAGTAACTATGATTTAATTGTGTTTATATTTGGGGAATTTATGGATATGTATAGCAAGTTGTATAACCTAGATGTTTACATTTGTAATACTCTTGTAATTGGTTTTAATGTTTATAATCATTCTTGATGAAACCCTTTTTCTTGTCTTAGAAAACTTTTTATCTTGATGGAGCTTGAATCATTCTTATAGTGACAACGAGAATGAAGTTTATACAATGGTTTTCATGGCCTACTATGCAAGAGTTTCGATGAGCCATACCTAGGGAAGACGACTCGTACTACACCTTAGAGTAACGTAGTTAGATAGACGATTTGTGCCTACCGAAGATAGGCTATTCATTGTATGTGCATTCATCTTCTTCGCGATTTTGTTGTGAGCTTGACGCCACATGAGTCATCGTTATGCATAAAGTGAATTCTCCCATGTTAATTGCAATTAGCCATAGTTATGAGGGTGTGGTGAAGTCAATTCTCTAGCCGTTTCTCTATATCATCTTTATCAATTTCATTCAATTTCCGCTATAAGTAGTTAATTTCATCTTCTTTAAGTTGAAAAAAAAACAACCAAATCTCCATTTTTCGAATTAAACAGGAAGTAATCTTAAGAACTTAACGGCCATAAACTTCGCAGTCTTCGTGGTTCGACACCCTCTACATAGCCTTATCCGTGCTATTGTGAGTGGTTTTATTATTGAGAAAAATAGTAAAATGATTTAACACATCAGTAAGCAAGCTCCAATAGATACAGAGAAAGGATACATATGATTTCAATGAATTAACCCATATCCAAAATCTGAAATCAACAACATCAGGCAATAAGAATACAGCATCCACGTGATAGTAAAAATTTTGAATTTTAAGAACAAAGAATATTTGATCAGTAGCTAGTAACAACCCATCAAGAGAAATAACATTGATCAGTAATGAAGTACAAATTAAGGAATGTTAAGTACAGGAACAAAACGCAATACCTGCAAAAGTCGATTCATAGGAACTGGTTGCTTAAGATCCCATATAATTTCTGAAACAGCACTTAGCTGACTAGAAGTAAGGGAATATGGAAGAGCCTTCAAAAATTTCTTGGTTAGAATAGACCATTCCTCAACAAATACCGCATTTAATTCAGGCTTCCTGTACCTATCCAGCAATCTATCCTTCTCTATCTGTGTACCAGGACCTTCAAGCAACTGGAACAAACGCCCCAACTGACAACAAAATAATCGGGACAGTCAGGGTTTATGCCATTGCCAATGCGCAGAAAGATAGCATAAAACGGTACCAGAATCAACCACAGCAACAGAGAATTAAACTAAGAACTTGCTTACTCTAGATATATTAAATGTAAAATAACTCAACATATGGCCCTGAATATTAGAGAGAGAGAGAGAGAAAAAAAAAAACTAACTTAGATGACTTGCAATTCAGAGCTTGCATTAAAAAACATATACTGACCCTATTCGGAAAGACTTTTCCATTACTGCAGCAGAAAAAGTGCGGAAGTCATAATAGTAATAAATAAGAATAAGAATCTTTCTAACTGAATATGGGATATAGTAGAAATTCAATAAAGAAGAAAGAGGAGAAATATGTAAAAGGTTTGAAAGATTTTTATAATATGTAAAGGCTTGAATGATATATATCACTCATTCACAGCTCTAGTATTTATAGATAAAATAAGAGCACATGCTCATATTACAAGAAAAGAAACTAAATCAAATCTCTGCTAATATGGTAAGTCATTCCATAAATCATGGCTATCATATATGCTAACATATGCATAAGCAAACCTATGCTAATATGGTAAGTCATTCCATAAATCTTAGATATCATCTGTGTTACCTGGACTCGTCGTTTCCAGCGAGGGTGTCCGTGTCAACACGACACAACACAGACACGGACTCGGGATATGCGTCTGACCTTGTACAGTCAAGATCGGACACGGCCGTTGAAGAAAACTCTTGTTTCAGTGGTCGGAAATTAGGGATACGTCCTGGTTTCACCGCGAATTTAGAAAGGAGGTTTTGGAGAAGACAAGGGTTATTCACTCGTTTTTTTGCATAGAAACCCACCCTCTTTGGAGCGTCTTATTCACGCTCTTACTTTTCCACTCACGCATAAACAAATTTCGGCAGCTGCCAAGCCTGTCATTAAGAAACGTAATAGAGTATATGTATGGTAGTGTATATATATATATGGTTCTAGTATCTAAATATCTATATATATAATCATAAATATTGTGGTTAGTGAGTTACCAGCTGTAACCCACTAACCAATCATGTTGACCGTTTGACTAGAATGGATAGGTGGGTTATAGCTGTAACGCACATCCATTATGCACACATTAATACATTGGGCTTGGGCTATTATTTGGGCTGGGCTATTGTAAGAGTGTTTTAATAATATAATCCATTGGATTGGGCTATCATTTGGACATTAAATTGTAAGAGTGTTTTAATAATATAATCCATTGGGCTGGTATATTATTTGGACATTAAATTGTAAGGGTGTTTCAATTATATAATACATTGAACTGGGTTATTATTTGGGCTTTCTCTTGTAAGTTATTTTCTTATTTTATTTTTGGTTTGAGGTAAAATAGTAAAAGATAATGTGGTTACTAAAAGAGAAAAAAACAGACTTAATAAAAAATATAAATTCAACTGGTGCAAACTCAAAGGTATACAACTGACAAGAGTACTCTCTCCTTTACAACATAAATGAAGCGTTCAAGTACCCGTGTCCGAGTTTTGAACACTTTTATTTCATGTCCCCGTGTCCTATAATTTGATACATAGATGGATCCGACCTCTAGACACATACCCGTATCCGACACTCGTACCCGAGTCCGGGTAACATAGGATATCATATATGCTAATACTCCCCCTCAAGTTGCAAAGTAAAAATATGACTAGCAATGATTTTCTCTCAAATGAAGTGCTGATCAACAAATCAAAAATGTCTCCTCAGACCATAAACAATTAACAATGTCTCCTAAGACCATAAACAACCTCTCCTCAGACCGTAAACAACCAGCAATGTCTCCTCGTACCATTTTCCTTCATACACATGTTTAAAACATGCAGATGGAAGAATCAATAATGTCTCCGCAGACCATTCCCCTTCATATATATGTTTAAACATGTAGATGAAAAAATCAACAATGTCTCTTCAAACCATAAAAAGAAACAACTATGTCTCCTCAAACCATTTCTGAATAGGTGGTGTCAAACTCGCAACACCCTCAATGAGGTCGGATCACCCTACCTACCCGACACCTCCCGAATGGGCGATCTCACCTTAGACCATTCCCTAATGGGTGGTGCCGAACTTGCAATGCCCTCATTACAGTCGGACCAACCTGGCTCTGATACCAAGTAGAAATACAATATAGAAGAAAGAGGAGAAATATGTAAAAGGTTTGAATAATATTCATAATATGTAAAGGCTTGAATGATATATATCACTCATTCACAGCTTTAGTATTTATAGATAAAATAAGAGCACATGCTCGTATTACAAGAAAAGAAACTAAATCAAATCTCTGCTAATATGGTAAGTCATTCCATAAATCGTGGCTATCATATGTGCTAACATATGCATATGCAAATCTATGCTAATATGGTAAGTTATTCCATAAATCGTGGCTATCATATATGCTAACAGATATCAATAACAATTATGTGGTTAAGGAACTAAACTGCTCATCATGCCTAAATACATATATGTAATGTAAACAAAGGGCTCAATCTAGAAGAGAAAGAAAGCATGAAGACATGAAGAAATCAGAATTGCAGTATAGAATACCCTTTTTTCATACCGACTTCCATGAAAGCACAGAACGAAACTACCATTACAAATATACGAAATGCATGCATCTAAGTCAACTAAGAATATCAAATACATCATACAATAGAAAATGAAGAAAGTTTCTCCAAAGGACATAAGATCAATGAAATAAGAAGAAAAGATATCCTCATGCAGCACCTTATATCGTGTGTCACCGGATAGCAAGATATTAGATTCAAGAGACAGTCTCAATTATATATCTTTTTTCTTTGATAAGAAATATAGCAAACCCTATATTTAGAAGCCCACAGCAATAAAGTTAGGAACAGGTCACCCCAAAAACTGTTTAGATACAACACTTTGGAAAAGATATAGTGTTGTTAAGGGCTGAATGAGAATAGTCAATCATTCATAGCTCTTGTATTTATATACTAAAAGAGCACATGTTAATATTACAAGAAAAGAAACCAAATAAAATCACCGTAGATTCTATGCCTAAATATATGCGTAAATAAAGTCAAATTCCAAAATTCTAGGCTATCATATCTCGGCTATCAAAAACAATTATGGTGACTCAAATTCCATGATTCTAGGCTATCATATCTCGTCTACCAAAAACTAATTCATACTCACAATTTTATCAGTTAACTATTTTCACAATTATCTGACCTGGGTCCTATTTAAACTCAAGCTTGTAAGACTAATTTGACTCATTTAGGCAAAATTGGTTTATTTATATTTATTAGAATTTTCTATAATTTTTATGTATTTTATCAACCATTTAATATTTATTCTTGATTCTAAATTAAGATTAAATATATTTTTAATTTGAATGTAACCAAAAATGGGCCCAACTTGCTGGGCTTGGCGAGTTGAGCCCACCAGACCCAACCTACCGCAGAGATGAGGCCACAAGGTCCCACGTGATATAATCATAGTTTCAATTCTAAATGAGTTTTTTATAAACGTAGTTGATTTCTTTTCATTGAAATTTAATAAAATGCTGAGGGTAATGAAGACAAGCAGTCGTTAATGCCATCAAGGTGACAAACACTAAGAGGAGGTGTCAATTTAGTTTTGGCTATTGCTAACACATGTAACTATCCTAAAACCTAAGGGGAGAGCAATGTAATTTACCTAAAAGAAAAACAATCTGTTCATGAGAAAAAAAATAGGGATATATTCATGAACCAAAAAAAATAGGGATATATATAAGTAAAACATATAGAGCATTATACCTTTAACATTTAATGAGGAAAACAAGAATATGACAACATTAAATTACTAACTGTAATCACCTGAAGATAAAAGAACTCGTCAAATATAAGCCTTTTGCGAGCTAAATCAGCCTCATTTAAATTCTTGGGCTGGTGAATCCCAATATATGCCTGCATCAGTAACAAATAACATTTACCTCTAAAATGAAAAATAGACATTAAGAAGTAATAAAGTTCAAAAGTACACCACATATATACACAAATTTCTTTTACTATCTAAGCCAGCAAAACTGGATTCATTTAATGATAAACTTTATATTAGTTGGAAGCCACTTCAGCACTTCTATTAAGTCTACGGAATATTTGAAATTGTGAATTAGTACGTGTTGAATTAGTATGTGTTAAATTAGTCACTCATTGATGACCTGGTCCTTCTTCTCCAAATTCTTAAGGATCAAGGTGGCTTCTATATATGTTTTCCTCACAAAAAAGCTACTTCAGGGGCTTTTAACTGCTATATGGCTTTCCAAGGGAAGAGAAAATTGCTATCACCACAGTGATCCTTAAAATACAATTTCACAATAAAGTTCAAATTTGAGCTCTCTTCCACCTAATTAAGTCCCCCCCACAACCTTTAAGTCTCAGTCCCGAAAAGCTCTCCTAAACATACATTCCAGGTCAATTCACTCTCTGAACAGGTCACGTACCCAAGAATAGCCACTTCTTATCATCCAACAACTTAAAATAGCGACACATGTTTAGGGTTGCTGACCACAACACAACCATCAGAAAGGCCAAGTTAGCTTCTTCTTTGGTAGGAAGATTTGAGAAGGAAGTGGGAAGCTTGCAAAGGATCGAGGAGTGGGCTTCGAAGAAATGGAAGGTGTTGAGTGGGGTGAGGGTTTCCACCTTGCCCAATGGGCTCCTTCTGTTCAGATTGCCATCGGAAAAGGAAGCACAGATTGTAAGAGGAGTTGGGGAGAAGCAAACTTGTTCCTGGGTGTCTAGTGTTTCCAAGTTGGTTGCTCGGGCTTGATGAAGAAGAGGAAGGTAAGGAGGATTCTGCTTTATCGCCTACCTCTGCATCCTTGGTGTCAGAAGCTCTTCGAAGCCATCAGAGATTTGTGTGGAGGGTTTCGAGATGTAGAGGCATATGATATGATCGACACTGAGAAGGTCGTCCTCATAGTCGCTGACAGAAGAGAGATACCAGTGTTCGTCATCGTTGAAGACAAATGGGTAGCTTTCAAGAACATGTTGATGGAAGAAATCGCACCTTCTTCTGTGCCGAAGCCTAACTCCTTAATCGTTTGGGACGAAAGCAAATTGATTTCGAAGGAGGAGTGGTTGCATCGTCACGATGAGAGTGCTAGAAATGGTCGAGGACGAGTTTCGCACAGGCCGATCTTGCAGAGGAACGAGATCTCTAGAGGACAGGGATGACCTAAGCCTCATGCGCTGGAGGAGTGAAATCGAAGGAGGTTTGGGGGTACACGTGTCCAGCATAGGGATTCTTCCCGTTTCGGATGGGTGACAACTGGCAAGGCTCATGGCAAGTCACACGAGAGAGTTTTAAATTTCAAACCTAATGAGTGTGGGCCTGTTTTGAACGGGCCAACTGTGGTTAATCATTTTGCAAATGGGCCTTCTGCTGGAATCTTTATTAATGGCCCATTGCTGTTCTCAGTCCATAGCAGTGAGCTGGGGCTAAAATAACTCATTAAAAGTCTCTTTTAATGGGACTTGCAATGGCCCAAATCAGCAGACTGCTAAGTATGGTCCAAAAGTTCATGGACCAATTGAGTTTCAGGCCCAAAAGCATTCCAATACGCATAAGAAGAGAGGATCCATTTCGGAAAAAAACAGAGGCAAGTATGGAATCCATCTCTGAAGAGACAGAAGCAACGAGGCTGGGTCCTTTCTGGAAGGCTCACAAGATTCGCCAAGGCAGACGTTGGTCACAGAAAGAAAAGCAAAACTGGGTTAAACTTAGTAACTTCTCAAGAGACTGGTAAGTCTTCTTTTTTAACCAAACAGCGATCTTCTCACTCTACCCCTTCTTCTTCTACTACTCCTTGTGGCGTGTTGAAGTGCTCAGTAGGGGAGAAAGAAGCAGGTTGGCTGTCGGAATTGCAGCGGTTATCAACTGTGAATGAGGTGGGTGATGGAAGGCTGTTCGGATGAGGAAAGTGGGAAGGTTTCTGATTTTTCCAGATGTACAGGGGCGTTTGATTGTGTTACAGTTGTCTGTGAGCCTGAACAGGTCTCTGTGTGTGTGGGAAGAGAATGTCAGTTTAATCTTAGTGATGATGTGGCTGCTATTCTGATTGGAGAACTGAGGGCTTATAACGCAAGGAGAGAGGGTTCAATGGAGAACTGACGGCAAGATCAGTAGGAGATACTGCTGCATTCCCATGCAATCTGCCATTTCTTTCCCTTCTTAGGTGATAGAGAGTAGCTGACAAAAGCATCCTCAAAACCTTCTCAAATTTTTAGAACTGAACTGAGCAGAGAAAACATCAGCAAGATTTTGAACTGAAGACTAAGGCTGCAAGTTCCATCCCAAGACAGATGCCAAACAAATCCAGACCTCCCAAGCAACATGACACCTCACAAATAGGTGATCAACAGTCTCATCCTCTGTAAAATAGGAGTAACTAATGCAAGCCATACAAATACCTTTCCTCTGCAGATTAGAGCAGTGGCAATAAACTAACCATCTGACTCTACCTCCATTCCAGCACAAGTTATACACTTTAGTCCTAACCAACCTGCAACCTTCCCAAGCCCCTTCAAAACATAAATCACCTTTATTCCACAAAATTTGATCCCGGCCCCCATAAATTCTCATGTTTCTACACTCCGACACCCCTGCAGTGATGTTATGGAACCTTGATATATCCCATTGCTGTCTCACCATAGAGTTACTCAGCATAACATGTTTGTCTACACTTAGACATCTCATGGCCCTCACCCTTTCCAATCATATTTGTAGACAGGTTGATTGGAATTACAATGAAGGCAAAGGCGCGAAAGAGAAGGAGGATGTGGATAAATGGAAGGAACGGGCTTTCTCTCTAGGTCTGGGCTTGGTTGTCATCAGTATCGGTAGTCGCTTGTCTCGCGAGGCTTGGTTGACTATGTAATGAATGGAAACTTCAAGAGCTTATGGCTGAAATGTTCTCTAATAAATTGACCATCACACCAAGGGTCCAACATAAAACTAATATTACTGCCATCACCGACTCTAAATTAACAATGCTTCAATACATCCCGTACAGCCACAATGCTTCTCCATATGGAAGACTGAGAATGTAGGAACTATGCACCAGTAAGTAGTACCCCTGACATTGCAATTTTTGAACCAGGCCACCCATAATCTATCTTTAGACTTCAGAAACTCCGAGACTAACACACATTGGGCAGCCTTATCTGCGTCTCCAAGTCCCCTCAAAACCAAAACCACCCTCTCTCTTAGGGGCTGCTAGTCTATTCCAACTAATACAATGAATTTTCTTGCTATTGTCATCATGAACCCACACAAAATTTCTAAGCTTCCATTCAATAATATTAATCACAACTGCAGGAATGGTGTAAACCGACGCCCAATAATGGACTAAGGATGTGATCACAGCCCTAATCAACTCTACTCATTGAGAGCTTTCCATCTAGCGGCGGCGGCGGCCACCTTATCCACTAGCCTTCTACAATCAGATCTTCTTAAGCCCTTATCTGACATGGGAAGGCCAAGATATGCGAAAGGCAACTTCCCAATCTTACAGCCAATAGTCCTCTGAATAGTGTGTTTCCTCTTGACTGATCTGGTAAAACACACTTTTGATTTATCCATACTCAACACGGCCAGATACGTCTTCAAAATGCTTCATAATCCTCCTCAGAGTAAATACAGAACCAAGGTTAGCTCTCACAACAATAAGAAAATATATCAGCAAAGAACTAGTGAGTGACAGGAATAACAGCTTTTTTAGCATAATCAGAAGCCACCAAAGTACCCACATTACTCTCAGCATTAAAAATACCAGACAAATATTCAGTAACTGAAGTAAATAATAACGGTGACAAAGGACAACCTTGTCTAAGACCTTTTTCTGGTTGAAAGAATCCACAAGGGTTGCCATTGACTTTAACTGAGAACCGCATAAGTAAGGCATTACTTCACCCAAGAGATCCACCAATCACCAAAACCAAATAACTGCATCAACCTGAATAAAAATTGGCCACTTACCAGAGTCATATTCCTTCTTCAAGTCAACTTTCCAATCTAAGGTGGAATTGGTACTCCTCGCACCAAAGCTTCTCAACAACTCATGAGCTAAAGATAAGATTGTCTTGAATTCTCCTACCTTTCACAAAAGCATTCTGCCCATTCCCAACAATGTTACCGAAAACCATAGCAAACCTAGAAGCCATCAGTTTAGTAATAACCTTATACACTACATTACAAAGGGAAATAGGTCTGAATTCATTCACCTTCACAGCATCTTTCTTCATTGGAATAAGAATAATAAAAGTACAATTAAAGCCCTTACCCAAAACTGGATGTTGAAAAAATTGTTGAACTGCAGCTACTAAGTCAATTCCCACAATATTCCAGTACTGCTGGAAGAACCTAGATGGAAAACCATCAGGTCCAGGAGCCCTGTCTGCACCCATGCTAAAGAGAGTAGTCTTGACTTCCTCAATGGACACAGGTGCTTCTAATAGAGCAACATTCTTCTAACTGGTCTGAGAGCAGAAGCTTCAAATTGAGAATGAGGCTAAAAATAATATATTGGATAGCAGACTGATCAGAAACCATATCACCATTACTATACTGCAAAATAGAAATATTATTAGTGTTCCTATGCTGCTTCACTCTCCGAAAAAAGTACTTGAGAGTTTCTGTCCTGCTCTCGCATCCATTTAAGCGTAGCTTTTTGAACAAGAAGAATCTCTTCATTGGTCAATGCTTCTTCCAGATTAGTTCTGGCTTGATTTTCCCTCTCTATAAGCATCTCATTAGAGACATTCCCCAAGGTTCCTTCTAGCAGTTGAGACACCTTCAAAACTGAGCCAAACTTATGAACATTCCACTGCTTCACCTTAGTTTTCACCCATCTAAGCTTATGAATCAATTTAGTCATTGCGTCACCAACCACATTGGACTGCCAAGCCTGTAATAACCTGCAGAACAGGTTCTTGCTCAGACCATACTTTCAGAAACTTAAAGGCTTAGGGCCAGAGGCAATATCTTTAGGAAACTACACACTTAAACCCCAATGATCAGAGAGACCACATTAGCCCAAGCTATATTCATCAAACCCCTATCTAACTGGCCATAAATTCTCTTTCTGATCAATTGTCTGTTGCACCAAGTCCAATGGTCATTGATAATGGGCACCTCCTCAAGACAAAGCTGATTAATTAAGGAATTAAAATCACAAAGAACACCTTGAGGCAAGATCAATCCACCTTTCTTCCCATGATTGTACCTAATAACATTCCAGTCACCAATGAGAAACCAAGCACCCCCAACGGTAGAGGAAAAATTTAATACATCAGCCCACAACAGTCTTCTGCCCACTATGGAGTTAGCTGCATACACCAGAGAGAAGTAGAAAGAAACATTAGAACCCTTAACTGCGACTCTCAACAACATAACCTGAGGCCTGCAATCCAAGATCTGCACATCAAGCTTAGAGGGGTCCCAGCCAATCCATATTCTCCCAGAATCAATTGCATCATAGTTTTTATTCCAACACCAATCATTTTTAATTCTAGCAGTAATAGAAGAAAATTTATTCACCTTTACTCTAGTCTCAAGAAGGCAAACTAAAGATAATGCATGAAGACACAGCCAAGATTTGATTTCTTTCTATATCCTGACTCTATTGAGCCATCTCACATTCCACACACCAATCATCAAAAGAAGTTTGGCATGTTTGCCCCACCTGCTATCATAGCCCTAGTCATCCTGACAGAGATTGTGTTTCATTATGAGCTACGCCAATCTCCTCACTACCCACTGTCGTATCAAGTTTCTCCTTTCCCTTTGGAGAGAAAGTTGTCACCATTGGTTAACAAATGAGTACTATCATCAGGGTTAGGCTGATTACCCTTCTTCCTTACAAATTACCCTTCTCCCTTAGAAATGCTTCTCTTTCCATCAAACCAGATTCCACAGGAACTGCAGCTTCCTAATCTTCAACACATTGATTCTCAGTTGTACTAACCCCACTTTCATGCTCCTACTCCATAGGAATCAACTTCCCCTTCTGTTTCACCACCCACTCAGTGGCAACACTCTTTTTCTGCTGCTTCATAGGACATTTAGTCTCTGAATGATCAACGGCATTACATCTCTTGCAGATTTGGGGCTTCCAGTCACATTCAGCCTTAATCTCACAAACCTTGCCATGCACCTCAATTAAAACAACCCCTGGCAGTTTTTCATGAACAACCACCTCCACCATAGCCTTCACATAACTCCCTCGATGCCTAAGCAACCGTAGCATCATCAAGGTACAATGGGTTAGAGAATTTCGAGCAAATCTTCAGTATCGCCACTGCACTTATACAATGCGTGGGAAGATCCACAAGCCGAATCCATATAGGAACCGAAACCCAAAACTTATTTAACCAGGTTAACATTTTTGTTACATTTCTTGAATATCATTGGACGACCTTGATACGTATGGACTCTTCTCAAAACAGTGTCTACATCCTTTTGATATTCAAACCGAATCATAAAGAAACCAGTTTAAACTCACCCAAATTCTAACAAACCTTCTACAAGAAATCCCTGAAGTAGGGAAAGTATGACCTCACCCCGAGCAGATACCCCACAATCGGAAGCTTCAAGTACTCAACCACTTCAGCGATGTCTTCATCCGAATGATGAATGGTCTACTCATCACGACTCCCCTGAACGAAGGATAAATGTTCCATGTGTTGTTGCTGATCACCATCGAACAAACTCCTCCAACTGCTCCGTGGTGGGGAGGTTGCATGGGAAACCCTAGCCCCCACAGGCCCCCACCCCCCCCCCCCCCCCCCCCCCCCCCCCCCCCCCCACATGAGCAAAGATCACCAACCTCCTCATCGGAACCCCATCACCGTGCTGGAAAATAACTAGTAGAATGAAACCCAAAGGAAGCCCTAATATCGCCGAAGCATAATCAGGATGGAGATGGTTTAACTAGAAAGCAAATGTTTACTATTCAGTCATGTGGAAGCAAAGCAATATTTATATGCCCTGAGATATTGCTTGAAGCGCAGGTGTCTTCTTTGTATTAAGAGATTTTAATTCACTCTTGTTCTTTTACAAGAAAGCCTCATCATTTGCAAATTCATTCTCCTTTTTAATGGAAAATTTTGTAGCATACCAAAAATAAGAGAGAGAGAGAACTGGATAATCAAAAAGGATTAATGGACTGTTGGGCTTGCAATTGCACATTATTGGGTTTTTTATGTTTATTTTATTCCACATTGGTTTCTTTTCTCTCTAATAATTAAATGATTTATCATCCTTCTAACTCTTTTCCTCTTCACCTTCTCTAATAGAATATCTTCTTTCTTATCTCCCAAAAAAGGCCCAAGACTATAGTTAAACAAGGCTTTGAAATGTGAAGTCAAAGCCTTGTTTCCATCATTGCACACACCCCTCCTCCAAAGAAATAAAAAATAATAATAATAATAATAATAAAAGAATACATACAATCAATGATTCACCCAATCCAGAAATTTCCTGACCAGTAGATTCATCTATAAAGGGGAAAAGCAAAAGAAATCCTCCAATTATTTCCAGAAAAGCCATGATCAAGTAAATGATTCTTGATGTGAACCAACACAAAAATGCACTTCACTGTGCCTTCTATTTCTTGCAGAACATGTTGTATCTGTATCAGGAAAAAGTCATCATCACCAGTACTGTATTATATTTCATTTTGATTTTATTTCTGAAGGGTTCTATGTCAGATATTCATGCCCATATCTACATCCTTGTCACATGAACATGTTAATAAAGTTTGATCAAGTGTCACACAAAGTCCAAACTCCAAACCCGAATCATTCACCATTTCAACAACACAATAACTAGTGTCACAAAGAACGTACTTAAACTTCACTCTGATTCCAACTCTCCATACCACAAAGAAGATTCACAGATACCTAATAATTTTGGTTAATATCCAATGTTCTTGGTAAGAAATTCATGGACCATCCGCAAGTGTAAATTTTTTTGCTTTGCACAACACATTAAACAGCTAAATGAGTTTCCATGTGTGTCCCATGACACTCAAAATATTACTCTTACCGAGTTCTTAAACATGATTGGAACCCAATGGAACCTTAGATGCCAACATGTAAAAGATCAGGACACCAGATAAAGCAACATAGATAAGTGTTATGTCCCCTCCAATGCTAGAAACACAATAGCTTGCGGACTGTAGACAGACATAAATTGAAAAGCCAAGAAATACAATATTGAAGAAGCCAACAACCATCCAAACCTTTAACATAGATGTTCAAACGTGTTTGATAAAACACATTATAGAACCATCCTTCTTCACTAGATTTTTCAACTACGGAAAGAGATGCTCCAGCTTGTTTTTTCCAATTTTGAATCAAGGTCACCTCTTAAAACTACAAATTATGACAGTTCACTCGCAATGATCTAAATTCAACCATTACTGCATTTCAGCCTTCAAGGATCTATCACATTTCATTATATGTATAACACATTTACAGCAAATTCAAGACACCGTAATTATTGAACATATTCAAATATAGGCATTTGAGGAAAATCATTAATAATCTTGACTTTTGAAGACAAATAATGATTTGCAAATTGAGGAAAGGCTATCCGTGAAAGAGTTCATTCTATTTTCCACAAACGGGAAAAACTTCATGACCTCACATGAGATTGGCATGCTCATACTATTTCTAGAATGGAAAATCAAACTGCAGTGATTAATAAAATGAGTTATAAAATATACATCAACAGAGCCTTCAGAATCAAGTAGAAAGCTTTCTTACATCGCGAAGACAAACAAGTCCAAAATCCTGAGTAACATCTTCAGGGATAGGATCAACATTGCCAGGCAAGGCTTGTAAAGCTCTGAAAGATGTAAAGAATACATACTTGAAGAAGTTAACTACTGCACACTAATGAACAATCTATCAGGTGATCAAATAATTCATATATATATATATATATATATATATATTGTGCAGAAAACTAAATCATTTCCTAGCAGATCATTCAAGAAAAATAAAAGAGATTCAATCACTGAAACTTCTGTAACTGATTAGAGATAGCATGTAAGTACTTCATTGACCATTTTGCATGCCACAGATAAACGACACAGTGAGTACAGGGAAAGCAAATAAATGAACTAGTGAGTTTGTGTGCATATAGTATTTTATCATCATCCCCCTTTTGCTCTCAACGACTCCTGGTGTAACTGAAACCATCACTTTATTTCACTTCCACTTCAAAGAAATACAAAATTTTCAATTAAAAAAAATATATATTTTATTAGATCTACACACTTTTACATGAGATAATGAGATGGGAAATGATGGTCTTCCATAAAGCTTAATGCAATCTCAAGTAGTGGATTCACCAATTTTTTGAGATGGACATTGTCTTTCAACATGTCCATTTCATCTTTAATCCTTGTCGTTAACGATCCCTCCAAAACTTTTATATATATATATATATATATATATATATTGTTACGACAAATGCAGCGAACGAAGCAACAATTACGAAACACTGCACCAAGCAAAGAACACAAAGATTTATACGTGGTTTGGCAAAGTCTACGTCTACGGCGGAGATCTAGCGAAAGTATTCACTATGTGTAAAATAGGAGATTACAAGTTTGTCTAAAGTCATGAAGATAAGAAAAGGAGGACGGAGGAGAAGGGACATGAGTATTTTGAAAGAAATACTGTTTTCCAACAAAGACAACATTACGAGAGGCACGAATACGACGGACAGAAGGATCATAACACAAAAAACCTTTTTGATGAGATGCATACCCAAGAAATGCACGAGGAGCAGATTGCGCAGATAATTTGTTTCGATCTTGTGCAGGTAGATGGACATAACAAACACAACCAAAAACACGCAGTTGGTTAAAGTTGGGACGAGCTAGATGCAAGCGAAAATATGGAGATTGATGCTGAAGCTTTGGAGAAGGCAATCTATTGATAAGATACGCAGCTGTGGAAAGTGCTTCCACCCAAGAATGAGAGGGTACTGATGCATCAAGATGTAGGGTCCGAGTAACATCCAAAAGACGCCTATTTTTCCTCTCAGCTATTCATTTTGTTGAGGAGTATACGGACAAGTTCGCTGGGAAATGATTCCTTCATTTTGAAGATAATTTTGAAATTCATTTTTCATATATTCGCCTCCAGAATCGGAACGAATAATTTTGATGGATGTGGAAAATTGATTTTTTAGGTAAGCCAAAAAACGCTTAAAGGCATCAAAAACTCCAGATTTAGACTGCACAAAACAAATCCATGTGTCGACTATAATCATCGATGAAGGAAACAAAATATTTTTTACGAGAATGAGAGGGAAATGGAGCATCCCCCCAAATATCAGTATGAATCAAATCGAAGCATTTTGTAGTAATGTCATCATGAATTGGAAAAGGAAGAGTCTTACTTTTACCCAATTTACAACTACTACAATCAAATGAGACATGAATTAAAGAAATAGAGTTTTTATTAGAAACAAACCAGATTTCAACAAGAACAACACCTATATGATCATTCAGCCACTCCTTGCCAACATCAACACAATCCTGCCTAGCACCATCGGTCTCCAAACCTTCCGGTCTCACAACAGCCAAGGGATCGACCACCCCTAAATTTGGATGTCTCTCCTTAGCCCACACAATCAGGTCAAAAGCCCCATTCTACTTATCCCTCAACACCTCTCCTACCCCGTCCTCCATCTCCTCCTCCTCCCCAACACACAACATCCAATCAACAACACTGTCTGTTAACTACCCATCTACTCTAAAAGCTTAAGCTATTAGAGAGAGTGTAACTTTAATATTTAAATCCTTCAACACGCCCCCTCATGTGTGGCCTTCTTTTTTATCCAACACGTGTTTTTCAATTTTTAATTAGGGTGACAGTGAGGTTTGAACTCGAGACCTTTGGCTCTGATACCATGTTAACTACCCATCTACTCTAAAAGCTTAAGCTGTTAGAGAAGGTGTAACTTAAATATTTAAATCCTTCAACACTATCCTCCCCACCATCCATTCCATCAACCTGAATGACCTGAATAATAGTATAATCAACAGACAGAGTCCTTTGTTTCAACAATTCCTTTACTAACAGAGCAGTTGCCTCATCGCTAAGGGTAAAACGAAGGTCCTTCCCAACACAAACTACCATCCTTTCGGAAGCACCAGTCAAAGGGTCCATTTGTGATCTCAGCAACATGTCTCTATCCAACTTAGAACCACCCAAACCTTCAACCCTGCCCATAAGGTGCTCGGAAATCCAGCCCGGCTCCTCCCCATCCGAAGAAGGTTGAACCGATGAAGAAAAATCAGAAAAGGACCCATCATTCCCCAAGCATTCCAAATCAGTGCAATGATCTACACCGGCCATCCCATCCCTTTCTAACAGCCCAAAATGGTAAACACCGGCCGTCCCATCCTGGATGCAGTGCAAATAGCAGAGTGCTTTCTTCGAACAGTTGAAGATCCTTAGAAGACTAGACTGAGTTTCCATTAATAGATGCAGCTGATGGTGTGATCAGATTGTGTGTTTATTTATGGGTCTTGAGTCATTTATTTAAGGTTTAAATCTATTTTTATTTCATGTTTAGGGTACTATTGTCATTTTGGTTTTTATTTTATAAGTCATGTGCCTTTTTAAGTGAGTCATGTGACCACTTAAGGACTGTTTTGTCATTTTAGCGTCTTTATTTTGCTGGATAGAATTCTAGCTGTTAGATTATATTTATATGAAGGGCTATGATTAATTCCTTGCTAGGGCATCCCTTGTGTCTTATAAAAGGGTTGTTCCAAGTTGTATTCAGCAACTTTTGACGTATCATCAATATTTTCATTCTGTTGTAGCAGTCTTTTACCTCTCCCTTTCTTTGGGATTGAGTTGTGGGTGTTGAAGCTGTTTTTCTGGCTTGAATTCGCTCTCTGGTTTCGCTTCTTCAGATTTATTTCTTTTCTTTTTGAGCTGATTGCATTAGTTGGTATCAGAGCAAGTTCTAATCCAGTCGTTTTGTGTTGGGATATTAGATATCTCTCTTAGGTTTTGCAGCATGCCACCAAGGAGAAGAAATCCAATTCGCAGACCAGCAGTTTGGCCTCATCAGGACGCAGTTGTTCATCAACAACAAGTGCTTGCCATGGTAGAAGATCTAAGAAGGCATATTGAAGCTTTAGCCCTGCACGTTGCGCAAATCCCAGCCCTTCTCAAGATGGAATCGAATCTGAGGAGGAGGACAATCTGGAAGAGGATTTTGTTAATCCTTTTTCCGGAAACGCAGCACCCAGACAAGCACCTGTTTCATTTGAAGAAAGGCGTTGGGATGGCGGCTTTAAGATGAAAAATCCAGAATTTGTAGGATATCTTGGTGGAGAAGAAGAAGAACCACAAGAAGAGGAACCTATTTATGATAAGGACGACGAATTTAACGAGAACACTTTCGTCAATCATGAGGAGCCACGGTTGAAAAAGTTTCTATCATGATTCTGAGAATGATTCAACCAATGATGAGTCATGGTTGTTCGTAAAATCGACTACCATAGAACCATTTGTTGATTGAAGTAAGCCTCCAAGTTTTTATAAAGAACCACACATTGAATCTATGGATTGGGATCAACAAGCAATTTTTGGTAAGGAAGCAAAAAACTTTAAAAAGAAGAATCTCAAAATGAAGGAAGCTATGAGAATGTGGTGGTAATAAGAGAAATGGAAAACAACTAAGTGTTTAACTTTTCACCGACGGAAGTTTTGCAAGAATGCAAGTCTGATCATTGGTCGGTGTTTGAAGATTTGAGTACTAAAAATAGTTTCTACTTTTATGATATGATTTGGAGTGAATTCTTGGAGCACACTACAACTGCAAGGCGTTTGTTGGAACAAAAGTTAAAGTTGATTAAACTTCTACTTCAGGATACGTGTTCCACCGAGTTTTGCAAAACTACCCAATTTCAAAGAAAATCCAGCAAAATTCATGTTTATAATGCAAATGTATTATTTGTTAGTAAAGGAAGATTATTGTATTTGATTCGAGTTCGGAAAAGAAGAAAGAAGGGATGGAACATCATGCTCAGATTTTTTGATTGATCGTGGAAATTTGCTTCTAACTCGAGGACGAGTTTTCTCTCACCTAGAGGGGATTGATGCAGTGCAAATGGAAGAGTGCTTTCTTCAAACAATTGAAGATCCTTAGAAGACTAGACTGAGTTTCCATTAATAGATGCAGCTGATGGTGTGATTAGATTGTGCGTTTATTTATGGGTCTTAAGTCATTTATTTAAGTTTTAAATCAATTTTTATTTCATGTTTAGGATACTATTGTCATTTTGATTTTTATTTTATAAGTCATGTGCCTTTTTAAGTGAGTCATATGACCAAATACGGACTATTTTGTCATTTTAGCGTCTTCATTTTGCTGGATAGAATTCTAGTTGTTAGATTATATTTATATGAAGGGCTAGGATTAAATCCTTGCTAAGGCATCCCTTGTGTCTTATAAAAGGGTTGTTCCAAGTTGTATTTAGCAGCTTTTGACATATTATCAATATTTTCAGTCTGCTGTAGCAGCCTTTTACCTTTCCCTTTCTTTGAGATTGAGTTGTGGGTGTTTAAGCTATTTTTCTAGCTTGAGTTAGCTCTCTGTTTTCCCTTCTACAGATTTATTTCTTTTTTTCAGAGCTAATTGCATTACATCCCTTTCTGGCAGCCCAAAAGCCCAATTCCATTCAAATCCGAGTCAAACACCTCATCCTCGGACCCCACCTCAACCACAAGTGAAAGCTTCCAAGACTTCACTGAAAACCCATCACAGTCCTCCCCCATCACTCCTCATCACCCCAGAAGGAGTAGAAGAAGAAGAAGGAGCAGAAAGAGAGCTCCAAGAGTGGGAAGTAGGATGCATACCATGTTCAAGTTCTCTGTCCTTGCGAGCAACCCATTTCTGTTTTTGCTTCCTAGTCCATCATTTGCCAGGGTGTTGTATCGTAATTGATTTTCTTTGACAAACCCCCTTATCCGACGAAACACAATCATCTGAAACATCACAGCAAATTCCGGTATGCAACGGACCAAATCTGTTCCCAGAAATCAAATTTTTGCAGCACTCACCGTGACGGAACCTCTTAGTCGTCAACCCATCTCCATGTAAAAAATCAGCTATCTTTCTCCACTCTAGACCATTACTTAGCCACTGACTTTGTCGTCGAATGAACTTTGATCTGCGTAGAAGATGAAGCAGTGGATTGGGCCTGCTGAAAACATCTGGATGCCTTAGCAACCAGTGGGCTGGACTGCTTCCCCTTAAAAGAAACAACAAGCCCCTTGTTCGGGCCCCAAACCACCACCCTATCCCTTCTTGACTTACCCAATCTGGACGTGGGCTTAGTATGAAGAAGCCCAATAGACGAACTCAACCCAATGGAGTTGGGCTTAGTCTGGTGCGGTCCAACTGAACAGGATGACCCAACAGACTTGGGCTTAGACTTAATCTGATGAGGCCCGGCTGTATCATTTAGTCCATGTCGCCCATAATGTGGCCCAGTTCCAGGCCCAATCTTCGCAAGCCCATCTTTAGCAGAATTTAAATACCCCACACGCTCACATGCTAAGTCATGTGCGAAAACAGTTGTCTTGCACCTACAATGGGAGGCGCATGTACACCAACCAAGTGTACCGCTCCTATCTCTGCTCACCCCACTCTCCTTTGGCGCATGCAACCACGTACGTCCCTGTCCTTGGGTTAGACCACTGTGACAATCTGCATTCTGATCCTCCGGTGAAACACCAAAACCACCTCCAGGTCATCGATACGCTCGAGTCTTCCTATCCGAAAACACTTGAGGTCTCAACCTATCACTCCCAGCGTAAGAATTGGAAAGAGGCACAAGGGAAGGGCAAATTTCTTCAGTCACCGAAACTCTGAAAGCCCACCACTTGTCTTCCACTGTGATAAACTCCAGGATCTCACCGCCTTCAAGCACAGTAATGACGGTTCTCTCCGTATCGCTCATTTCATAAGCCTCAACATCCCAATACCCTCCACAAAGGTCACCAATGGCAAAGAAAAGCTTCTGACACCAAAGATGGAAAGGAAGGCCATACAAAATGACTCGCCGGTGCAAGGACTTCTTCCTCAACCCAGAGCACCCGACCCGATAGCACCACAAATCAATAAACAACTGTGCATCACCCCAGACTTTCTTACCCCCTGTTAAAAACCTTCTGAGCTTCCAAAAGCAACGGGAATCTGAACAAAAGCAACCCATCAGCCAAAGTAGAATCCCTAACCCCATGTCTTCGAAGCCGACCGCTGAATAGCATCCATAGTTCCCACTTCTCTGTCAAAATGCCCAACAAGACAAGACTTGATCATGGACTTACGACTGTCGGTGCTGCGGTTGTCCACCCTAAGAACAGGCCCTCTAATTGTGGTTTCACATTCCACATCCCCTTTTAGATCCAAACGAGGAAGCCTTGCAACCTCAAGAAACGACAATCCCCTGAACATCCAGAGCCCTCATTGACAGATCTGAAATCAACCCCCAAAGAAACACAAAAGAACACAACTGGAGAGAGAGAGAAGCAAAGAAACAGTAACAGAGGATTTCACCAGAATGGATAATTCCGGTGACTGGTCGGAGTAGTAGACTCAGACCACATCTCTATTACGAAGCTCTTTCGCTGGAGTATATATAAAGTAAACTACAAGCAAGCACAATGGACATGAGATTTTTAAGCGGAAAAACCAAAATTATTAGTGTTTTTATATTTCATTCTTCACATCCCATAAATACTGTTTGGACAAGAAAATAAGCAAAGTAGAAAGAAATCAAAATATAATACTATTTGGACAGAAAGAAACACTAGGTTACACAGAGGCTGTTCTAGAGGAGCTCTGGAGTTAGCTAGAGCTGCCATCTTTGAAGTGCTACTTGCTGCTATTCCATCTTTTTAGGATTTATACTGACGATGTTAGGCATCTTTTCTGCCTTTTGTTGTGAGGGCAGCACCCATACTGGAAATGGTGCTACTCAATTTTTCTTCTTTTTCTATTGTAATGTGGTCATATCTGCTTTCTTTCCTATGTACTAAATGCTTATCTTTGAATAATATCAACACATTTAAGAAGGAAAAAAATTCAAAATATAATAAGGAGTAACAAGTAGAAAGAAAGCATAAAAGGGCTAGCTCTTTAGACAATTAACAAAAAGGTTCTTACCCGAAGGAAAGAAGGAGTATAATCCAAAGCAGTGTCTTAAAATAAATAGCGTGCATGCTACAATATTAATAAACATAATCCTAATGAATGGAGGCACGAACCTCAAAATAATCTCCCTAAGGAAGTTTGGATTTAGGCGGCCTTTCGAAGGGTATATAGGATACGGCCTCCCTTTCGCATGAACAGATAAATCTTGTCCATCTTCAAGCACATCCAAATCGTATTCCCTTATCTCATAATGATCTTTTTTGTTCATGGTCTTGACCTAGAACAAAAGGCAAGAATTATTCTTAGGGACAAGTTCCAAATGAAGAACACTCAAAAATATAGGAAAAAGAAGATGCAACATTTATAAACAAATGAATAGTACATCATCTACAAGCATAAATTGAATTTATTTTAAAAAGCAAGAGTTTAATTATATAATGTTTTTGCCTGTCACCAATAAACACTGTTGGAGAATAATTGAATGCTAACTTGCTATACTAGGGAAACAACTTGTTGCCATTAAGGGCTTAAATCACTCTTATAATTATTCTCCAACAGGTTGTTTTGACTAGAGATCGATATCCAGCTGGCAAGTACACGAAACTGAGTGCAAGAAAGATTGGACCATGTGAAGTACTGGGAAAGGATTTACAACAATGCATACGGGTTGAAGCTTCCCAGCCACATCAAGACATCCAATGTTATCAATGTTCTTCATTTGGTTCCTTATCATGGTCGAGTTTTTTTCACACTGGAGGATTGATGCAGTGCAAGTGAAAGAGGACTTTCTTCAAACAGTTGAGCAACCTAAGAAGATTAGACCGAGATTGCATTACAAAAGCTAAAAATAGGTATAGTTGTTTGTCTATGGTGTATATGATCTTATGTATTCCAAGAAGGCAAGCAGTTTTCGGAGTCTTTAATGATTATAATGTGTGTTGTTACAAAATTCTCTCACACTATGTTCTAATCCTAACAATCTCCCCTTTGGCAATTTTGTGACAAAACCAAAATCAATTTAACAATAAACAACAGAATCATTAAAGACTCCCAAAACTGCTTGCCTTCTTGGAATAGCTAAGATCATGTACACCATAGACAAACAACTATACCTGTTAGAATAGTTGTATTAAGGCACAAATGAAATTAGTTTACCCTACACGGGTATTTCAGTCCTTCGTTATCCCTGTACACACGTGTGTGTGTGTGTGTGTGTGTGTGTGTGTGTGTACAAAATATTAGAGTGAGGAGCGTGAGTTTTTTCTCTCACAAAAAAAAACCCATAACAGCTTCTCTTTTACCCTAATTCTAACAGGGTATCAAAGCAAGATTCTAGTTAATGTGGTCATCATCATTACTGTTGATTGCCATCTTCACAGTTCATCATCATTGTACATAGAATCTCATCGTCATTGCATGGTTGCCATCGAAGGTCGTTGTGGTGTTGTTGATTGTCGTAGGTAGTAGAGTTGTTAATTGTCTCAGCAGTCGCGTGGTTTATCGTAATCGGCATTCGTGTGTGACAGTCGTCATTGACAGTCTCGGGGTTGTGTAGTTCCCACTGTTAGCAAAAAAACCTCTGTGTCTAGGGTTATCGAACAAACGGGGGAGATAAAAGGCAGTCTGACCCGATACAAAGCCCAACCTGATAAGTATCCATTTAGTTTGAACCAGCTTGACCCATTAAATCCGATATGACTTGACCCATTCGGACCGTTGTTTCAACCCGTCTAAATCATGTAGTTTCACTACTTGAGTATTCACAGGACTATTCCTTTGTAGTTTTAAGTGTTAAAGCGTTTGTCCTTTTTGGGAGGAGGGTAACTTAACTTGTACGTTTGTAGTGAGCCAACCAATCAACTACCTTAATTTATCTACATCTTTAGTTTCCTCAGTGGCAATACCTTAAAAACGTTGAGAAAGTGACATGAAGATTTATTTTAACCACTTTACTGTTAGATTGCCTTCTCCTAAAACAAAGTAACTGTTGACAATATCATTTATCTTAGTATAGAATTCATCAAAAGTTTCATGAACGTCCATTCTAAGATTTTCAAATTTAGTGGTCAACAGTCGTAATTTAGAGACTTTGACAGCATTAATACCTTCATGTACCGCGAACCAGACCTTTTCAACTATATATTGAGAAAAGCTTTTAGTCAAGCTTCCTGATAACTATAATCACATCCTTCAACTAGGACGGTCTAGATATGCAACCACCTTCCCTAAGGTCTTCCGTGACCTACTCAGTAATTTATAGCAAGCCACTGTGATACCAATTGCTAGTAAGGACTGGAACCCGAGGCTCTTAACGGAGAGTCGTACAAGGCCAATGATATATATAGACCTCGGGGGTGAATAGGACTTGTAGGTTAGAGACCCAGTTTTAAAGTTTTTCTGAATTTAAATTAAACTCAACAGAAATTCAAATTCAATTCACCAGCAAAAAAAATCTTTTTTTTTTTTTTTTTTTTGTTTGGAGAAGTAAGAAACGGGAACGCATCCCGAGAGCTGCACAAAGCCCGAGGCCAAAAAAAAGGCTAAGGGCGTAGGAACCCAAAAAATTAACAAACTCCTCTAGATATAATAAGATATTTCAAAGCCCCAGTGGAAGATTACTCCCTATTGAAAGATCTTCGATTCTGCTCCTTCTAAACACACCACCAAACACAAAAGGGTGACGCCCTTTAAAAATCACGAGTGTGGACTCACACAAAGAAGCCTCTCCCGGCGTCAATCAAGCCCCTCGAGGACCAAGGCATAACCCACTCGATGCCGAACAAATCAAAGATAAGGCTCCAACCGTTGTGAGCCACAGGGCAATGCAAGAGTAGGTGGTCCACTCACTGTCCATCCCTCTTACACAAGCAACACCGTTTCTCCTTATCAAGTTATCCATCATCAAAATCTTGCCCCAAACTGCAGTCCAACCAAAAAAAGCCACTATGAGAGGAGCCTTGGGGCGCCAAACCGTCTTCTAAGGGAAATCAGGACCATCGAAGTCTGAAAGACACTAGAACAGGGAACGAACCTCAAACCTCCCCTAAGAAGAAGAAACCCAAAACATGGAGTCAGGACCCTACCCTTCAAACTTGTCTATACAAAAGATCTAGAAGTCCAGAATCATCGTCCAATCTCCCAATCCTAGAAATGTTGCAAAAACCGCACATCCCATGTGATCCTACCACTATCATGCCGATAAGAGTCGGAAACCAAGGCATGTCTATCAATGCCAATTCCGAAAAGCCTGGGAAAAGAACACAACAATAGACGATTGCCACAACATTACTCATCCCAGAACCGAATACCCCTACCATCCCGAACTTTGAACCTAATGTGTATAGAAAATTCATACCAATCCTTACGAATGAATCCAAACACCCACACCTTCAGCTAATCTGACCATACGAGAAGACCAACCACCTCTCTCCTACCCAAAACGGCTCAATATAACCCTCCTCCATAGCCAATGTCGCCCGGCTTCGAACCTCCACAACCACTTACCTAGAAGGGCTCTATTGGAAGGGATCAACCTCCTAATACCCAAACAACCCAACTAAATAGGTATGCACACCTGCTCCAAATGCACAACAAGATACTTGAACACCTCCCCTGGCTACCCCAAAGAAGTTCTGTTGTCAATCCTTCAAGCAACACAAGACGGAATCTAAAAGAGAGAAAGAAAACATATATGCAGACTCAATAGCGTGCTTTTCGTAAGAGTGACAATTCCACTCTTCGAGAGATATTGCTTCTTCCACCTAGCCAGTCTTCTCTCAAAACGCTCGATCACAGGGTCCCACCCTCCTTGACGGAGCACCAAAGGTAGTCCCAGATAAGTGATAGGAAAAGAGCTAACTCCACACCCAAGAATCGCAGCTAGAGAAGCAATATCCTGGACCTCCCCCACAAGGAAAAGCACACTCTTCACCACATTAAATTTCAGACTAGAGATTACCTGAATATACCAAAACACACCTCAAATATCTCAGCTAGGACACATCAACATTGCAAAAAAAATCAGCCGCAAATAGCAAATGAGAAATCTCCATCTGATGAGCTGCATCCCTACCCACCATGAAACCCCTAATAAAGCACTTGCCCTCATCAGCCTGCTAAAAGCCTCCATAACAATCATGAACAAAAACGAGGAAAGAGGATACCCTTGTCTCAAGCCTCGAGAACTGCCCAAAAGGCTGGTTTAGACCCATTCACCAAGGCCAAAAATCTGGTGTACGAAATACAGGCCTTAATCCACCTCCTCCATCTCTCCACTAAATCCAACCTCCAACAGATACAACAGGAAGCTCCAACTAACATGATCATAAGCTTTCTCGATGTCAAGCTTACTAAGAACTCTGGGGAAACCACAATTCATCCTAGAATCCACACATTGGCAATGAAAACGAAATCCAAAATCTGCCACTCACCAATAAAAGCGTCATGGGGCATAGGGAGGACTTGAGCTACTATTATAGATACACCACACTAAACTTAGAGGTTTAAAGTCCTTTACATCGGACGCTCCACCCTTCTTAGGGATGAGAGCAATAAAAGATGAATTCAACGACTTCTCGAACCGCCCAAGAGAATGGAAAACATAAAAGGTGCCCATCACCTCTCAACTCTCCAACAAGAACCTCATAGTGAAACCATCCAGACCAGATGCTTTATCACTGTTGAGCGTCTTAAGGTGCGCTTAATTGCCAAAGGGTACACACAAATCTATGGTGTTGATTACTCAAAGACCTTTTCTCTTGTAGCCAATCTTAACTCTGTACAAGTTCTTCTTTCTGTGGCAATTTGTTATTCCTGGCCTTTATATCAACTTAATACAAAGAATGCATTTCTTCATAGTTACCTACATGAGGAAGTTTACATGGATCAGCCACCTGGTTATGTTGTTGATGGTAGTCAGCACTTTTTTTGTCGACTGTAAAAGGCTCCCTATGGCATAAAACAGTCTGCTCGTGCTTGGTTTGATAGGTTTAGTGATGTGGTGATGGAGTTTAGTTTTCAGCGCTCTATTTCTGACCATTCCGTCTTTATTCGTTGCTCTTTTGCTAATACGATTGTTTTAATTGTCTATTTTGATGATATTATTATATCTGGAAGTGATTTGGCAGGCATTGTAGAGTTAAAACGACATCTGGGTCAACATTTCCATACTATTTTCTTGGGATCGAAGTTGCTTGTTCTCAAAAAGGCATCTCCTTGTCTCAACAGAAATATGTTCTTGATCTTTTGGCTGAGACCGGTCTTTTAGGTGCTTGACCG